GTGGGACCAGATAAGCAGGTTTGAACTTGGGGTTAGGGCAGCATCCTCATGGAGCCCACATGAGGTCTTCTGGGGAGTGGGAGCTAAATGCAACCACGTGGCCAGGACAGTTCCCGAGTATCACATCCTGAGGGTTCAGTGGAAAGATCTGGGGGAGAAAGGTGCAAGAGGCAGGGATGCCTTATGTCCTGAGCCAAAATGGCTTCCCTTCCAATATGGCTGGGCTCAAGATGCAATGCTGCATGTTATGTGGAGCATGCTGGGCACAGTAAAGCATGGGGCTGTCCAACTGGTGGCTTGTAGGCCACATGCAACTTATCAGGGGTTAATCTTCAGCCTCTGGGGGTCCCCCTGCCTGCTAGTCCCATCGCTGTTCCAGCTGCTACTACACCTGAGGTCTCTGGGCTCCCGCTCCCTCTCTCCTGCTCCTACCCCAGGAGGTGGGATGGCAGTGCAGCACAGCCCACAGTGATGCAGAGCTCACAGCTTGGTGCAGTGGGGGAGCTGCAAGCAGGAAAGTGCGGGTGGGCCTTAGCCTCTTCTGGTGGAGCCCCTGTAGTGTGAAACCCCTGGCCACTAAGAAGTTGGACAGTATAGCATGTTGCATGGTGTGTGCTCTCTGGTGCATACAGTGAGACATAGTGTGCACAATGCTGCATGGTCCCTGCTGCCTGGTATGTGAAGCATGCTGTGCACAGTGCTCTGTGACAGGTGATGCATGCACTGCCATCTGGTGCATTCAGTGCACAGGGTGCTGCATAGTAAGCATGTGGCACATGCTTCCTGGTGCATGTGGTGCTGTATGGCACATGCCATTTGGTTGGATAGTGTGCTGTGTGCATCCCCATCTGATGTATACAGTGTGCAGCATGCTGGATGCAGCACTGTCTAGTGTGTGCAGCACAGAGCACCTGGGGGAAGTGCAGCACACAGTGACAGGACAGAGGCTGGTTTCTGTCACTATCACATGTTGGGCTCTGAGTTTCTCATGGCCCCTTGAATGGCTACCAGAGGGCCCAACTCCAACTATTCAAGCTGCTCTGAGCCACACAGACTCACATCCTCTCCTCTCCTTCCTCAGCGCCTACAGCAATCTTGCCAACTGCACGGAGCTGCTGGCTGAGGCCCTGGCCTGCCCATGGCCCAGCCCTACTCTTGATTCCTTCTTCCTGCAGATCCATATGGAATATTTCCCCAACTGCACAGCAGCTGAAAGCTCTGGGCCCCTTGAGCCTCCCATCAGGCCCATCCACGCTCTGGCCACTCTGTCGATTTGTCTGACCCCCCTCGCAGTTGTTCTCACTCTCCGCAAAACCAGGAGGGCTGAGCCAGAACCATAACGGGGCCCAGCCTCACCCCTCTGTGCTCCTTGCACCCTTCTCCAGGCTTAGGAGACAACGGACATTGTGTATAACAGCCTTAAGGACAAATAACTATCCAGTGTGTCGAGCAGAGGGCTGTGAACACAGGCCTGCTACAGCGTAGAGTGTTGGGTCTAGCAGGGAATAGGGCAGGGGTGGGCAATTACTTGGGCCCATGGACCACATAGGGAGTTTGTTGAGGTGTTATGGGCCAGGTTAGCATCCCCATCCTTGTGCAGCAACTTCACCAAAACCTGCAGGCGAGCTGGGAGCAGTGTTCAGGAATGGGAGGGGCAAGCAAGGCTGGGATCTTGGGGCAGGGCACAGCCATGATCTGCTGCCCACACACCCCTGTGATGAGAGTGGATTCCACAGGCAGAGAACAGATTGTAGCTCTGCCCCATCCTGGTCCCCATGCTGTCACTGCCCCAAGATCCCAGAGTCTCCTCAGCCTATCCCACTCCCAAACACCACTCCCCACCAGCCTGCAGCCCCATCCCAGCTGCTTGGCTAAGCACCCTGCCCTCGTTGGTGGATGGGCTGGGGTGTCTGGGCAGCGCGGCTGAATCCAGCAGCTGCACCGCCCCAGCCCTGCATTGCAGCTAGGCACATGCCACAACCTGGACTGCCCCCGTGCCTGGGCCAGGCAGGGCTGAGGAACCCACTGTGGGCCAGACAAAATTGCTCCATGGGCTGGATCCGGTCCATGGGCCACATTTTGCCCACCCCAGGAATAGGGTCCAGTACAGGTATCAGCAACCTATGGCCCACTGGCCAGCCCAGCCCACAAAGGGACTAGATGTATCCTGTGATGGTCCAGTTGGGCCCATGGTGGCACAGGGGACTGGCAGTACACAGCTCAGCTTGGCCCAACGTGTCCTCCTTCTCCACTCTGCACTGTGCCTTCTCAACATAACAAAGTTGTCTTGGAAACAGAAAGGATCCAGGAAGCATGGCATTTTCAGAGATAATCTGGGTGGGACCAGCAGGAACTTCCTGGTGTGGCAGGACCACAATAAGGGCAGACCCCAGACCTTGCAAGGGCAGTAGGGAGACTGTTACTTCTCTCATGTCAATAGTTCTTTAAGTACATAATCAAGAGAGTTGTTTGCATCCCAGAAGCCTCAGCAAGATGCTATATGTAGCACTCCACTTAATCCTCCCTCCTGCTGTCTTTCTTGCTCCCTACAGCAGGCACTGTTTATTGTTGCTGCCAAATTTGCTCCTCCCCGCTGCTGCTAGTGGATAGTGGGCACCAGCAATATATGGTGCAGGTGGTGGAGGTGGGGTTCATGACAGAGACAGTAGCAGGCAGGTGGGGTACTGTGGAGGGGCATGCTGGGGGGAGCAGTGGTCCACAGCAACAGACAGGTCACAAATGCCTGCTCACCCATCACTGTGTAAGGTCCCCTGATCTAATGTGTATCAGAAGCCAGCTGAATACAGGAGGGATCGGGAAGACACCAGGATCAAGTTTAAAATAATAGGGGTGGGACTGGACTGGGGGTCAGGTCTCCTGGGCTCTACTGCTAGATGTAGGCAGGAGGGGAATGGGGCCCAAAGGCTCTCTAGCAAAGGGTTAGTCAGGACTCTGGGGTCCTAGCCCTGAAAGTATAGGGGGAGATGAGGTCCAGTAGGTTACAGTGCAGGAGGCTGGAGGTCAGGGCTCCCGGGATCTATTCAAAGCTCTGCCATTGACTCATTATGAGACCCTTCTCACTCTGCAGCAGGGCCTGGGGGCTTGCTCTGTGGTTCTGTGCTGACTTCTCCAGGTCCTGCTGGGAGGGGCTGGAAGCTGAGCACCAGGAGAAGTGTTTATTGTTCACTCTGGTGTGGGTTCTTCCTGCCCAGAGAGGCCCCAGCCTGGATGGAGAAAGAAGACCCCCTGCAAGCCTGGAGGCACAGCCTGGCCCCTATCAGTCAGGTAGCACTGACAGGCATGACTGTGAGCGTGCAAAAATCCAAATGGGCTCCTCTCCACCCCTGGCTCCCCTCTCAGTATCCTGGCTCTTTGGGAGCGCGTTGTCATCAGTCTGCCACTCACTGGTCACCTTGCCCCACTAGAGTTCCTCCTCAGGGATCAGCAAAGAACATGGTGTTTGCCTGGCAGAGTGAGGCAGTCGGGCTTGTGGAACTGCTCCAGCCTGGATCTGTGCACTAGGGACTCCTCCACGGCCAGTCCTGGCTGGGAGCATCACACATGAGTGACAAGCATGGCCCTGTTCAAGCGGCAGTACTCCAGATGACATCAGTGGGTGTTGCCTTGGCAAGGAAACACCATCTGCAGAACTCGAGGCTCGGCTCCAAGTGTGCAGACAACAAAGAATGGGATCGAGGGGCTCTAACCCCTGAGCACACCCCAGGAGCTTCATGTGCGGGTCATTATGTGTTCCAGATGCAGCCGCTCTCCCATGGAAGGTCTTGCAGTGTCCTGGAACAAGCTACTATTGCGCAGCCCAGAGACAATTGGCCCATTAGGCGAGGACATTTGCAGGGAAAGCACAAAGCACAGAGTGATATTATCTTTCCAGTTCAGGGAGGGTTCCTCTGAGCTGCAGTCTTTTTGCCCCACAGTTTACACATGGTTTGTGAGCTCCACAAACTGCCTGCTAAACAGGAAACATTAGGCTCAAATTCTGCCTCAAGCCAGAAGTGAAATGAATGTGTTTGGTCTCAGCATGTTTCCCCCTGTGAGGACATCACAGAACGAATGCACTGTGCAGTGTCATTCGGACTAGCCATTCATTTCTGTTTGTGGTAGCCCAGGGCTGAGCTAACAGGGACTGGGGTCAGGAGTGAGGGGCACCAGCAGAGCTGTGAGGTTGGGGAGCCCAAGGCTGGGTTAGCAGGGACCAGGAATCAGGAGTGGAGGGAATCAACAGAGCAATGGGGTGGGTGCTTGCTCTTCTTTCTTGCCTTGAGCAGCTGCTGGGCTCCCCCACTTCGGTAAACACAAATTTCCTCAGGGTTTTCTTGTGATGGTGTGAGGCTTCCTGGCATTCTTGGAGGTGGGCGACAAGTGCTGTCTTCCTCATTGCTTTCCAAGGGACTGGAGAGTGTGGAAAGATTACCCCCTGAGCAGTGGTGTTCAGGCTGGGTTCAGAGGTAAATGCTGAGAGATGGCTTTGAGGTAGTAGCAGCAGACATAGGGTGGTTGGCTCTGAAGCCCCCCGAACCTGCCTCCAAGCCCACAAACTGCATAGCTCATTAATATCAGTGCCTGACTGAGATATTACACTTTCCCCATCCATTCCCCCGGGCTGCCTGCTCTCCATGCAGGAGACTGGTGATTTCACAACCCAGCCCAGACAGGATTAAAGTGAAATACACAAACAAATAATGGGCCTTGTAAAAGTTTTATGTGCTGTAAAGGGAGCAGTGTTCTCCCTGCCACTGGCCAGATGTGTGGGTAAAGTGACGGAGGTACCCCAAGGCTGGGGCAGCTCTGGGTGGTGAGGATTGGTACCCACAGGCGCCAAGCACACACCTAGCAGCATGGGGGCCCAGCGGTTGCACTGTTCTGACAGGAGTCCCACTGGGAGATCTGTTTTAAAGCAGCACTGAGTAATCTCAGTTTTCACACGTCTCCTGTAGTAGATACCACCCCTGTCAGAGGAAAGGAGTTGCTTCCTGTTATTTCCATTGAAATACTTGTCCTGGTCATTAGCAGGCAGACTTTGTAGGATGGCACTATGCAAAGAGACAGGCTCTGGCTGCCTTTCCTGGGGGCTCCTACTGCTGCTCTGGGGTAAGTGCAATTCTGGCTGAGCTCAGCCCGGTTCGGGGCTGCCTGGGGCTGGCTCTTCTCCCTGCCAGGGGCCTTTAAGGGGTGGAAGGGTTCACAGATTTGGGCTCTATGACATGTTAGACTTGGCTGCAATCTTTCTGAGCTGTGACCCCTGCTGGAGCCTGGCTATATTCACCTCTCTTTGGGGTGGGACTGCAAGGCAGGGGAGCCCCAAGTGCAGCTTTGCAGGAGCAAGCATGGCTTCTCCCCTTCCAGCAATGTGCCCTCTTTACTGACTCTAGATCAAATATTCTCTCCCTCTGTGTGATAGCCTCCAGCCAGGGGAGCTCTGCATGGCAGGGCAGTACATGCTGCTGACCAGGTTCAGTGACCCCTCTGTACAGGGGAGCAGGGAGAAGGGCAGGGACAGCAGCCCCAGTGAAAAGTGAGATGGTTCCTGAGCCTCTTCTGGGGACGGCAGCACACAAATCTAAAAAATGAATCACTAACCCACAGAGAGGAGAAGGCTCCAGGGAGTCCTTTTTACCTTTCTGAGATAGGGCTCCTGGGCTTCAGCCCCGGCTCTGGCTCTGACAACCTGTGTCTCTATGCCTTGGTCCCCCCCTGTGTGAAGGGGATGGGAATCCAGCAGGAGGCTAGGCTGGCAGGGTGCTTGTGAGCAGTGGGAAGCACATTTAGCACACGTGTCTGGTGGGAGTCCTGGCCATGGGGTTGGTGTGTGTCTGTGTAGGGGAGCAGCTTGTGAGAGCTCTATGTGAGCATCTGTAACAGCATGCTGAGCCTGCACCACAGAAGGTATGCAAATGCTGCTGCCTGGTTTTGTGTACCTCTTCCTGCTTCCCTTCCTTTTCCCCTGTTTATCATCATCATGACCATTAGGGACATTTGGGATGGCAAAACACGCACTGAAAGGCCCCAGACCTGCAAGCCTCTGTCTGAATCAATGGTATGATGACCTGCCTGGGCCCTGGACAGAAAGGTGCTGGTGATACTTTGACTGTGGGCACCCCTGTCTTCCACCAGTGTGCCTGCCCTCCCACTTCCCCCTCCCCAGGGGCATGCAGCCTGTCACTGAGCCTCAGATTTGCTCCCACAGCAAAACTGTGGTGGGAAGAAGAAGCACTGCTGCCTGTGAGATCCCACAAATGCAGAAGTAGGTAGAGAAACAGCAAGTAGCCAGATGTCCCTTAGCCCTGGCATACCACAGACCAGCCCCAAGCCTCAGCATGCCACAGACTGGATCCCCCAGCACTGCCAGGCAGTGAGCCAATCCTGCCATCTCTGGAATAGCATTAACCAGTCCTCCCAGCCTTGCAATTTCAGGGACTGGACTGTTAGTCTTGGCATGCCATAGAGCAGACCCCACTGGGCAGTGTACCACAAACAGTCCCCAACCCACTACCCCCCAGCTCTGATGTGTCATAGACCAGCTCCCCATGAGGAAGGAAAAGTCAAGAAGACAGCTGCCCTAACCCAGGTCCACTCTCCAGCCAGACGGGCAAGGTAGGCTCATCTGCTCTGCACCATCATAGTGGGTGCTGCCAGCCAATAGCAGTCCAGGTCATGAAGACCAGTTTTTTCCCTCCCTGAAATCTCAAGGGAGGTTTAGACATGGCATTGTAGGAGGAATAGGTCCAGCCACTACCCTAGGGAGACAGTGAAGCATGTGATTAGGGGAAAAGCTGGGTTGTACTTATATACCTTATGGCTGCTGCATTACTATTAATATATTAGCATAAACTCTTCCCTACAATGCATATTAACGAGCCAATTTCTGCTTGCCATATATGGTTACCTTTAACTGGAATTTTTTTTTATTCTGAGGTAATCTTTTTGTTCTTAGGTGGCGGTAGGATTTTGCTCTGACTGTTCCTCTTTTGCCCAAGTTATATTTATTCAGTTTAGTTAGCCAACTGCCTGATTAGCTTTTGGTCATCCAAGCAGGATCCTTCCAGACTTCTTCTTTTCCTTTACCAGGGACAGGTCATGGTCAGGGTCACCTGTCTGTCAAATTTATGCTGGGTTGCAGCTAAGAATAAGCATGCAGCAAACAGACAGTAGTCTCTTGCCAATTGCCAGTACTGTCAAGCTGGGCCCAGAAGCCACTGGGTCCCAACACCTCCCAACCCAGCTCTTCCCCTAATCGCATGCTTCACTTTGATTGTCCCCTCCTCTTCCCCTTTCTGCTCCCATACTTAGTCTTAGAGCTACCTGTCTTATGCCCAGTTCATCTCCCTGTGGAACTGGTGCAGGGTGGTACCCTGCCCAGTGCTCCCAACTGCTGCAGGTGCTATGTGCCCTTCCATGGCCAATGCACTCACCATGTGTGCAATGCCATGCCATTTCATTTGCACACAGCCTCTACTGCACCCAAGAGTTGCAGAAAGAAGGGTGTAGCAGGGAGCAGTGGGGATGCCGGGTGAAACTCTGGGGCCAGGGCAGGAGGGGTCCTGAGCACCACAGTGCCAGCTGAGCTGACAGCAACAAGCAAACGTTTGGTTCTCTGCAGCTGTCAGGCTGCCCAGAACCATCTGGGTACCAAGTATCAGAGTTCGGTTCTGCAAATCTTGACCTCTACACTACTGTTAACCAAGCCCAAGAAATATACCACCTATGTCACTAGCCCCATGCCTACAGCTGCCCCCAGCTTCTCCCAAACATCACAGGCCAGGGGGTGTTTTGGGGCAGTGTCCAGAGAGACAGAACTGCAGGGATGGATGAAGCAAGTCCTTACGATATATCTCCTTTTGAGTCCAGGTCCTGCCTGGAGCAGGGGGCTGGTCTACATCACCTGCTGAGCTCCCTTTCACTCCTGTTTTTCATTCTTTGATTTTTCATCCTCCCCAGTGGCTCTTGGGAGCAAGGTATGCCATGGTGGAACTGCCACACAAGCACCTCAGCTGACTGTAAATGAGACTGCAGCATACTTCCTAATACGTAAGTACTGGGTACAGCATGGCTAGGGTTGGTTAGCAGCAGGGCCAGAAGCATCAGGGCCAGAAGCATCAGGGCAGACCCCCGCAGTGCTGGGATCAGATCAGCGCTGCAGGAAGCCTCTTCCTCTGAAACTGTCTCCCTACCAGGTTGCTGCTTAGGTGGGCAGCTGGGGTGACCTGCATAGAGTGGCCTGTGCTGTACTGTATTTTCTGCAGGGCATGTTTTGTCCTGGTTTAGCCCTGTGCCCTTGTTTGCTGCCTTCTGGAGCACAGCCTGCATCTGTATTTGGAAGACACTAGGGACCATGTTGGTGCTTTCCCTCTGCCAGTGTTGAGAGTTGTGAGGGCCCCTTGAGGGGTATGACCATGAATGCAGAGCCCAAATGCTGCAGGGTTGGGTGCTGTCATGTGCCTATGGGCTTGGACAGACAAAATAATTCTAACTTCAGAGAGGGGAAATTGCTATGTGCCAGGCTGATACATGGTAACTGGCTTGAATGTGGTGTATCCTGTGAGAAGAGGAAGCAAAACTCCAGTAATTTTAATTTAGCAGCTGTAACTTATCCCCACAGAGGGGTAGGATGCTCAGTTCGACTTCAGTTTCCCACTGGATAGAGCAATATAGCAGATACACACAACCACTACTATGCTGTCAGGCTGAAGCTTTGTCACTAGCTGAGGGCTAGATTGCCCCTGTCCTGAAGGGGAGTTCCTAAAGGCCACTGTGCACTAGACTGTGCAGGGAAGGCCTCACTGGGGTCCTGCTGGGGCATGAGTGAAGGAGAGCAAGAAGGGTACTTGGGCTCTGTCCCATGGGAAGCTGCTGAGATCATGCAGACTCTGGCTTTGCCATCCTTTCTGTTGGCGCAGCCACTGCCCCTCCCTCTCACAGGCAGGCCCTGTGCCTAGCACAGGGCTCCTAGATCCTTGTTATCTGCTGTTTGCGTCTTGTTCAATGCTTAAGTTTTCTTCTTTCCAGGTGAGATTTATGCACACATAGCGAATGACTGCTGGTCCAATTTCTCTGAAATGATGAAGAACGTGACCGGGGTGCAGTTATGTGAATGGAGTGTCATCAGCAGGTACCAGAGGTGCAGGGCATTGAATAGCCTCTGGCAGGGGTTTGCCAGTGAGCCAGGCTCTGCACAGAGCTCTTTCCAATGTCCATCAGCTGCTGAAGTACAGCTAGCCAGGCAGTAGGGAGAACGTTAAATGTATGGTGCTCTCAGTTCAAGGCTAGGAACTGCTGGGGGAGCAGTTGGGTCTGGCTGTGCATGGGCACTGCCTTGGCACTCGGCGTATGGTTCTCACTGGCTGTACCAGAGTCCTGTGGCACTCTAGGCCTGTGCAGGGCTGGTGGGAGGGTGGGGTTGTTTTCTACTCAGAATTTTGTATGAAAGAGGAAAAGCTTGTTTTGTTCACAATTTCTAAGCAGCATTTTTGATACAGTGATCTAGATCCAGTGGAACTGCTATGAAATCATTCAGCTCAAGCCATTACACTTGGAAATTCCAAAGAGTGCAAACCCTGTGGGCACAAATGTTTGACACTGGAAAACTGTTTTCCCCCCAAAAATTGCTCCATGAACCACTTCAGGGCAGCCCAAAAAAGCTGTTCTCTTTCAGCTGTCCATTGCTGGCTGATTCCTACCTGGCAGCTGTGACATGACAGCCATTTGGACTTGAGGATGAACTCAGGAACTCAGGCCTGCCGTTGGTTGGTTGTTTCCAGTTCAGTGTCAAATTTCCAGTTCTAGGAGGTGGGACTGGCAGTGAGGTGCCAGGGGTATTTGGCCACACCTGGCACTAGGTAGGCAAAACTAAATGTGAGATGAGGGTCCTCAGAGCCAACCCACAGGAATGGATGGAGCTAATGTCATATCTGACTCAGACCCAGGCTGGGCTTTCACTCTGAACCAGCTGGCACACTGGACTCCTTAGAATTGTTCCAGTGGTGCTGGGTCTGGCTCCGTCTGCTTGGCAAAAGTGTTGAGGTTGTCTGGTGGCAGTTCTTCTCAGTTCACACCAGTTGACAGCACCAAAGAATGCCCAGTCCTGGAGTGAGCTCAGCTACTTCTTGCCTCTCTCCCCCAGGCCATACAGTATTCTTCGATATTGCCTTGAGGGCTGGGCTGACAAGATAAATTACAGCTACCCCAATGCTGTTGCAGAGAAGTATATCTTCCAGAGCCACCACACATACTTTTTTAACTGCACCCTGGAGCGCCCTATGTACTTCGACCCTCCCGAAGATGTGCTGCTGGCCATGATCATCACCCCCATCTGCCTCATCCCCTTCTTGGTTGCTTTGGTGGTGTGGCGGAGCAAGGATGGGAAGATGCAGTCCTGAGCGTTGTGAGCCTGTGGGGGATCCCAGGTTAAGATGCCACCAAGGACACGTGAGTTAACCCAAGTTCATTAAAGAACCAGACCCAAGGCCTTGGACCAAATCTTCAACCCAAACCCAACTTCTGTCAGCTGCTCACTGTGATGCCAACCCCAGAGCTTTGTCCAGTGTCTGAACCAAACCAAGGTTCAGTGTTGGAAGGAGGCTGGGTAGTGCTAAATCCCTGCAGTGTGTGGTTCTGGCTCAGACTGGAATTGCGGCCCTTCTCATGCTGTTGCTAACTTGGCTGCACCTGATAACTGGAGGAACCCTTGTCTCACAAAGGTCCTAGCCAACTAACAGACCTGACAGTTTAGAGGAACCCTGGAGCAACAGCTCAGCAACCCTTCCATATGCATCTCTGGCTGAACATGGTGGCCTAATCTTTGTTGTGTCTTCTCCCATGCACTGGGGCATATTTGCTTCCAAACACCAGTTCCACCATGTGAGGACAGCATATTCTGGAGGACTTTGCCCTGGGGTCACATATGCTACTTGGAGCAGAATCCAGCCTGCTGGTGTTCACACATGCAGCCTGCTTCCAGAAGAAGGGGCCACCTCAGGCTGGGCAGCCCCAACACTTAGGATCTGTCCCTGATTTTTTTTTCCAGACAGCTGCCAGGGAAGAACTGGATGGGCTGACTTCTCAGCCAGTGCCACTTAAATGCTCTAAAGCAGAGATTAGTAACCTATGGCCTTTGAGCTGGATTCGACCCATGAAGCCATTGGACCCAGCCCACAGACGGCTTCAGGCACTTCCCCCCTCCCTCCATGCCATGGTGGGGAGAAGCGGTGGCATTAGCTGGGTCCCAAAGTTCTGTCTATTGCCTTCAACCTCAGGTGGATCATTCCAGCCTACAGCCTGGAAAGGTTGCTGACCACTGCTCTAAAGTCTCCTGTGTCTGAGCCTCCTGAGCTGAGCTGGAAGTACCCCTGTCTCCCTAGGAATCCTGCTCCAGCAGCCCCAGGTGCTCCAGCAGCCCACATGTAGGCATGTCCCCTAAGAAGGAGCTGGCTTGCAGCATGGTGTTAGTGCTGTGGGTGGAGGCAGCCCCTGGCCTTGCAATGCCAGGAAAGCCTTGTGGCTTTGGAGAGGATGTGGTGTCAGGGCAGTTGGCTTCCCCTGCTTGTTTATTAGACTCTGGTGCCTGTTTCCCTTCTGTGGAGAACCGGATGCTACACAACTCTTCGTGGTTCATCCCAAAATGTTTTCCAGTCCCCTTTGCAAACAAGCTCATTGGTTACAGTGTTGGAGATTAAAAAGCTTCTCTCCCTGGACACTGACCGCTTCCTGCTGCTGATTGGTTTGTTGCTGTGTGTCACACAAATGCTGGACAGAGCAAGGAGGTAGAGAGAACCACACCCCCATCCCTGCTGCCAGCTGGGCATTGCCCTGTGCCACGCCAGTTTAAAACCCCACAGAGAATTGGCTCTTGGGTGCTTTCTTTTGCTGTTTGTGGGGCTCAACCTTGTTTTGGAGCCTTCCCCAGGATTATCCAGGGACATACAATAATCCCCAGGCCTCCTGGACCATAGCAGATTGCTGTTTATATCATACAAGCCTCAGCAGTTCCTCTCTTGGGTAACAGCAAGTCCAACTGATGCACCCCTGCTGCACTGCCAGGCAGCTCCTTATCCAGGGAGGGAGGGCGGACATCGTTGGGTGACCTGAATGACCAGGCCACATTTGTCCCAGATGCAAAGCAACGTTGGGGCAGGCATAGGGAAGACCAAGACAGATAGGGCCTGAGAGCAAGGCAGACTCCAAAGCCTGGCTTGGGATCATCCTCCCTTGGAGCAGAGTAGGGTATGAGTGACATGGCAAGGAGTCAGGCATGGTCAGGGAGGGTCAGTGTGGCTGAGGCCTGGGGCATGAGGAAGGCTTAGCTGTTGTGCAGGGATGGGGGTGGGCCTGGGGCTGGGAGGATCTGGTTTGTTACTTGGCAGGTACCTCCATGGCAATCACTACAGTATCTAAGTGTGTGTGTCAGCATGCCTGTATGCTGTGCGTACATGTGCCTCTGTGCATAGGGGGACACTGTGCTATGGTCGCCCTCTAGCCTTTAAGGTCCCACCCAGGAGCCCAAGTGAGGCCCCTCCTTTCCTGCCCTAGCTGCCTCTGTGAGTCATTGTGTGGCCCCCACCCTGGGAACATTTATTGTTCAAGTGCCAGTGCCTGCCCCTGGAGTACACCGAGGCAGTCAGTTCATCTGCCTCTCCCATCCGCCTGGGCCACTGCCAGGCTGGGTGGCAGTCAGAGAACAAGGGGCAGCTTGGCCTCCCTAAGTAGCTTAACTTCTCCCTTGCAGCCAAAGTTACCTGGCTGTGCTGGGCCCCAGCATGGGTGCACAGCTGCTTCAGGCAGGAGTTTCATGGGGCCTAGGAGGGGCATGAACTAAGGCCCATTAGTTGTCTGTCTTCAGGCCACAGGGATTGTTCCTGGCCCTTACTTTGCCTTCAGTTGGCTTCCTCCTGGGCTGGCCCCTATTTCACCCCTTCATCTCACTCAGTAGCATAAGAAGGTAGGAGTGAGCAGGGCACCAGCCCTTCGCACCAACTTAGAGGGGGTGCCCATGCAGTCCCCTCCCCACAAGAGTTTTTGTCATGGTAGGCACAAACTTGTGCTGTCCAGCCATAGGAACTGAGCCAGCACAGCCCCATGCTCAGTAATGTATTGTGGGGGGAGAGAGTGAAATCATGCCCCCCACCCAGGAAGGCTTTGCCATTGGAGACAAGCCCTGTGCCTCAGGGTGGAGGAGCAAATGGGGCACCAGAAGCAGCCCTCAGGGGTCCTACACCACTGCTGGTTTCTCAGCTGCTGCAGTTGAAGCTACCACCCACAATGAGGAAAGCCAGAGCAGGTAAGACTCTGCTCCCACCCCTGCTCTCCAGTGGTCAGCACAATTCCCCGCCCCCCACCATCTCTGCCTCCGGCACTGAAAGAGCTGTAGTTCTTACTGCCTTCCATAATTGAAGTAGACACTGATTCCTGGGCTGTGGGTCCCTTCTGCCCCGCCCCACCCCACCAACCCTCTTACTGTCCCTGTCTCTCCCTTTAGTGTTGGGGGCTTGACCAACCCCTGACCAGAAGATAGTTTTAAGGACCTTGGGGGTGCCAACCCCCTTCAACCAGGGCAGAGGCTGACAGCTGAAAAGGAGATGCTGCTGCTATGCTTTCATTTCCACCTGGACTGCAGAATTGAGGAAGTCTGGGAAACTAGGAGAGTGGGGAGCTGGCCTGTCTCAGGGCCTGATGGTGACCTGGTGGATATGATGTGGATCTACTGGGCTGAGCAGGAGGCCTGGGCTGAGCCATCCCTTCCCTTGCACACAGTCTCTGCACTCTGCTCCACGCCCCCCCAGGCTGGCCTCTTCCTTCCTGTCCTCACCCTACTGGATGGCTGACAACAGCTTCAGCTCCCTCCCTGTGGAAGGAAACACCAGGCGAACAACGCCCAGGGCCTGACTGCATCTCTCAGCACTCATTAATGCCCTGTTCTAGGCCCCTCTGGCAGAACTTCTGTGTAGCTGAGTGCAAAAGCTGACATGGCCTTGACATGACCTGGGACACTTGCCTCTGGACTGCACAGGGGGAAGGACCCAGGGGAGCATCTGGGGCATCTCCAGTATAGGACCTTGAGCATTCAGTTGCTCAGCAGCAGCAGTGGCACCATGTGTGTGCAGGGATGGGGTGGGGGCAGCTCTTGATGGTGGTTTTCACACTGCAGGAAGTCCTGCTGCTTCAACCCACACCCCAGGCTCCTCATTGGGTCTGGCTGCCCCAGTCCCTCAGGGCTGTGCAGTGGTCACAATCCTGTGCTGGGCTGAGAAGGAAATGGCTATTTGCTAACATCTGTCCTGCTGAATACAACTTGCTGTGGGCACTGCTTTCTCTGTCCTTCCCTGTATTGGTGTGATGCTGCACCAGTCCAAAGAGCTCAGGGTCAAGGTGTGGGGCTAGAGCCCTCCTGAGGACATGGACAGACTTCACTCTCCAAGCATAAGAAAATAAGAACATAAAAACTGCCTTTACTGGGTCAGACTATAGGTCCATATTGTACAGTGTTCTGTATCACAGAGGCAAAGGTTGGATGCTTAAAGGGAAAATGAACAGTGTATCACCAGGGTTTTTCCCACTATTCCTCTTTCACTTGCAGCCTCCGGTTCTAGGAAGTTCTGATTCAGAGGCTGTACTCTTAACTCCCATGCTCAATAGCTATTGACGCAACTCTCCAAGATTTCTCCAATCTCTTTTTGAGCATGGCTAAAGTGTCAGCTTCCACAACATCTTGGTGCAATGAGTTCCACATTAGTTATGTGCTGTGTGAAAAAGAACGTCCTTTTGTTAGTTTTCAATTTACTACCTACTAGTATGTTTTGTGACACCCAATTCTTGTATTGTGCGAGAGAGTAAAGGCGAAAGATTTAAAAATAGTAAATGCCTATTTACTTTCTCTTGTAGTATTTTGTAAATCTTTACCATGTCCTCCCCCACAAGCATCTCTTTGAATAGGCCTAGCCCCTTTAGACTCTCCTCATATCGACATGACTGATGTGTGCCCCGGTGGCTGGGGGGGCACGGCTGCGCTGGCAGGAGTGTGGCGATGGTAAGCAGGGAGCTCCTGTAGATGCCACCGGTGCTGGCAGTGGTGGCAGGGTAGGGCCGGCGAGTGCTGACTAGGGGGTAGCAGCCACTCGCAGATGCCGCCGGCAGCATCAGTGGTGTCCAGCGGGGATTGTGGACCACCTGCAGATGCCGCCAGAGTTGTCGGTGGCAGGGTGGTGAGTGGTGACCGCCCGCAGGCACTGCTGACAGTGTCGGTGGTGTCTTTTTGTAGGGGGTGCATCGCCATGCTCAGGGGGTGCACATGCACCCACGAGCACCCACTATGCGTCACTCCTGCATATGGAAGCCCCTCCATACCACTAATCATTTTTGTTGCCCTGTCCTGTACCTTCTCTAGTTCTTCTGTAACCTTTTTTTGGCATGTCTAACTGAGTGAACACATGCAGTATGTGGTGCTACAGACCAGTCTATGACACTGCATACATTGCATGTGCAGGTGTTCCCCGTGCTGCTAATTTGCAGTGCAGGGGGAGGGGGGGGTTGACACCGAGAGATCCCAGTGTAAAAAAAACTATGTAAAAAAAAGCATTTGGCAGTAGCATGCTTCACCTGAACCAGAGCCTGGCTGGCCAGAGCCATGCTCTGGCTGCTGGCGAGGCTCCCTGCTGCTGGATCACCACAGCTGCAGTCCCCAGAGGCCCCCAGGACCCCAGGATAAGGCTGCTGGGGCCAGCCTAGCTGCTGGCCCCTGGCTTCCCTACCACACCAGGGGCTGCTGCTCTTTGTCCCTAGGGAAATGTACATTCCCACCCTTGGGGATGTGCTCTTTGAGGTGTGGGACCAGAATGAGGCATAGTATTCAAGGTGCAAAGGTACCATGGATTTATAAAGGAACATGGTGATACTTTCAGTTTATTTAGAATTCCATTCTTAAAAATCCCTAACATTTTGTTTGCCTTTTTGATGCCTGCTGAATGCTGAGCTGATGTTTTTAGCGAATTGTACACAGTGGGCGCGTCTACCCATGCGCATTTACTGCACCACAACCAAAATTACTGCGCAGTACAGGCGTGCGTCTACACCTGTACTGCACAGTAAATATGGTGACTTATGTTGACTTGAGCATAAACTGGATACCTGCATAATACAGGTGCAATTTACACCCAATTAGTTACTGCGCAGTAACACACGTATAGATGTCTTACTGCACAGTAACACTGTGTGTAGACTGACTTGGGATTAACTTTAGTCCCAAGTCAGACCACACACAGCATTAATGCGCTTTAACACGTGCACGTGTAGACACTGGCCTATTCCCTTACTGCACAGTAAACTTAAGGCAGTGTAAATGCATGTGTAGACACACCCTGTGACACCTAGATTTCTTTCCAGTACAGTAACAGCTAATGTACAGCCCATGTAGATCCCAAATGTAGGGAAGCAGTATCTCCAAGCAGTGGACATTGAGGGAGTCATCTCTGAGATAACAGCTAACCCACCACCTCCTCGCCAGCACTGCACACCAGCCATCCTGTCATACACAGGCGCATCCAGCTGGTAGCATGTGAATGAGACCAAGAGTGCAACACTACCCTCTGTTGAACTGTGCAGGTCAATGTCACAGGTCTTTGTCACCTGGAGGCAGAATAGCAACCCTGCCCCCTGGTGTGGAGAAGCAGAAGGCAGTTACCTAGACCAGGGGTTGCCAGCTGGGTATACTTGTATCCCTGGGGATACTTGGGAAGGCCCTAATACCACTACCCACCACCCCAGGCCACCATCTTTCAGGAGCAGGGCCAGGGTGGGGCGAGGGCAGTGGCACCCCTCTGTGGGCTGCATTGGGTGGGGGGGAGCTCGCATCCACTGCTGCCATCCACCACCCTGTGCTGCTGCCGCTCTGCATCTGGCAGTGCAGCACCCCCTGCTGCCCTCCCCCCCAGCTCTGCATCCAGCCGCCAGGGGTACCCTCATTAAAAAAAGGTTGAAAACCCCTGGACTAGATGACTTGGGAGGTCCCTTGCAGCCCTACTCCTCTATGATTTGACATCTCTGATGTAGTTAGTCTGTAAGGTGCAAAGCCCTGCCCTCTCTCTGGCTGGGACAGTCACAAGTGGCTGCCTAACCTGGAGATGCCTGGCTCCTGTAGGGAATCAGCTGCTGGCTCAGCCCCGCCTCAGGGTGGGGAGCAGCAACCTGGGTAGACCACACTGATCACAGAGGTCAGGTTACTTCCGCAGAGGCAGCTGGTTCCACAGCTGACTCCCAGCTGCCGCTGGGGACCAGCACCTGGGCCTCAGCCACCACCTGACTCAATGGCTCCCCACATCCGCGAGCAGGTGTGGGCCTGCCCCTGCTCAGACCACAGGAACCACTGCAGCCCATGCTGCAGGCCTCCCCCATTCCCACACAGCACAAAGTAACACTGTTCCCAGGTCTTAAATGTGAAAGTATGGTATTGGAAGCTCAAAAGTATTATATTTGCTGAAAAACTACCATACACTGGAAAGTGTGCAGATAAGTATACCAACAGGCATGCAAATAAGTTTTCTTATTTACTTTATATTGCTCACTGTAGCTTCCCAGTGAGTCAGTGAGAACTGGGTCATCAAAGTCAAAGCATTTTAGCATTTTGAAGCAATGAGCCATAATGAAGTATTGACAAGGAAAGTAAAAATCAGTTGAGATTCTCTGAGCAGGGTTTGGGTTTTCCACGTACTGTGTCAATTAAAGCTGCTTGGTCTCTTGAAGACTCAGGTCAAGCATAAGCTATGCTTACCTAACACAGGAAACACTGTGACCATGGAGGCAGTCTCCCTAGCCACACTGGCATATCTGTCAAGGTAATGTAGAGACATAGCTGCTGGAGTAGGAAGATCTTGGCTTCATGCCCACTTCATAAAAATGGGAGACTACCCCATAGCTTGCCCCTGGTGCCTTACAGCAGAGGGCAAAACTTAGGGGCATCCAAGCCTCTGGCCTGCAAGTAGGATGCCTGCCAAAAGTTTTGAAAACATTTGAAGCCCCAGATGGGGGTGGAGGATGTTTGCCGGTAGTAGGGCCACTTACAGCTCTGGACTAACTCTCAGATTCAGAATTTGTTTCGGTTAACTTGGCTTGGAATAGAGAAAATGTATTGGAAAAAAAATCAGCTGAGACTCCCGGAGAGTGACTTGGGTTTTCCACATGCTGCATCAATTAAGTACCTCAAACACCGTGGTCCATTTTGAACACTTCTGCTACTCTTGATCGTACAAGGGTTGAACATATTGTACAAATAGGATAATTATCATACAGTCGGCAACACTACCAAGCAGCCCGCCCACGGTCTCGGGCCGCGGAGATCGAGTGTCCGAGCGCGGGACACTGCCCGGCCTAGGGCGAGCGGGCGTGAGGCGGAACGGGCGTTGCCCGGAACCTTGGCTCGCGGGGCGGACCGGAAGTGCGGGAACCGGAAGTGCGGCGCGGCGGTTCCGTTGGCGGCGGCGGTGATGAGCGCAGAGTGGCCGTGGCAATACAGCTTCCCCCCGTTCTTCACGTGAGTGCGCGCGTCCCGCGGGACTGGCCCCCCGGGGGTGGGGGGCCAGGCCCTGCGGGCCCCCTCCCCCCCTCCCCGCGGGGCCGGCCCCGGTGCTGACTGGGGCGCCCGGCGCGTCCTCTCCCAGGTTGCAGCCCAATGTGGATACGCGGCAGAAGCAGCTGGCGGCCTGGTGCTCCCTGGTGCTGTCCTACTGCCGCCTCAGCAAGCAGTGCAGCATGACGGTCATGGAGGCGCAGGACAGCCCACTCTTCCACAACAGGAAGCTGCAGCGTATCCTTGTCTCGTGTCCCCGCCCCAGGAGCGCTGCGAGCCGGCTGGGACTGTCCTGGAGCTGGGGGCCCTGAGGGGGGCCCTGGAGAAGGGGTTGGGGTCGGGGTAGGAGCAGGGTGTTGCGCCTAGGCCTGCGGCACTTGCAAGGGCACTCTGTCGCCTCTGATCGTGAGGGCAGGCTTGTCTGGGAGACGCCCAGCAGCAGGGCAGTGAGCTCCTTGTGTGGTGCTCCATAGTGAAGAAGGTTGCATCAGTAGAGGTTCCCTATTCACTAGTGTAATCTCCTTTTGAAGTCATTGCAGCTCCTCTTGTGGGCTCAGATCATCGTAGTCCTGTGCTTGCCTGGCAAGGGAAATGCCATGACCACTGAGGTGGTCTTCCTAGTCGCACCCCAGGAAGACTGCTCTCCTGGCATGGGGATAGTACCTGCCAAGGTAATGTCAAGTAAACCTCCCGCTTAGCTGCTGGAGTGAGAAGGTCTTGGCTTTATGCCCATGTTATGGAAAGGGGAGACTCCTTCCTAGCTTGCTCCTGCGGCCATATGGCTGAGGGTAAACAAAACTGAGGGGCCTCCAAACCCCAAGCCTCCGGGCTTGGGCCTGCAAGTAGGATGTTTGCCAAAGGTTTTGGAAACATCTGAAGCCCCAGATGGGGGGTGGAAGATTTTTGCCAGTAGTAGGGACACTTATGGTTCTGGACTGAGTTACAGATTTGGAATTTGTTTTGGCTAATTTGGCTTGGAATAAGGAAAATTGAAATTAAAAAAAAAAAAAAAAAAGTTGTAGCTCTTTACTGCTTCCTGTACCTTGTGGAATCCCAGCCCCGTTTTCCTTTACTTGTTTCCCCGAATTGATTGTGATGCCTCTACTGGCTGCTCTGATTAAGGGAGGCTTATAGTTCCCTTAGTGGTCCTAGGTCAGTGGTCTCCAACCTTTTTAAGTAGGAGATCACTGTTGGCACTTAAAAACAATCCAAGATCTATCTGCTGCTGCCACCCCTCCCCCTCCTTGCAGGTAAGTCTGTAGGGAGGGAAGCTTGGGGGGCAGATCGCAGCAGAGGGAGAAAAAAATATTTGGGGATGCACCTCCCCAACAGGTATGTCCCACCCAGCCAGGGCTCCACTCGACTTACCTCTGCTCCTGCCTCTGCGGCACTGTCCCTCACCACAGGGGCCTCGATCTAGGCCTTGCCCGTTCCCTCTGCCACAGACTGACCTGCTGGGCTGGGGTGTGCACATGCATGCACATGGGCACTCAGCCTCCGACCCTAGCCTTGGATCGAATCCAAAAGGCTCCAGTATTGCAAAAGACTCTGAGATCTACCAGTCGATAGAGATCCATTGGTTGGTGACCACTGTCCTAGGCCAACATTTATAATGGGTATGCCTGTCCCAGATAGACATTAAGGATCTTAAGGATTTTATGTGTATAAAAGAGTTCCTAATGCATTAGGCACATACATATGTGTTTTGTGAGCCCTATCTGTGATGAAAGGGGTTGAAGAGGCATTAGAAGATGGCATTAGAAGTGCAGTTTAGGTTGCTTCAGATATGTCTGATTGCTTCCCTCATCCCATTCCTGCCCTGAACAGCTTTAGAAATAGTTGTGCGTCTGACATCATTCTCTGCACTTTATCTGTGGCACTAAATTATGGTGAGTGGTTCCTCAATGCAGAAACAGGGAAACTCCCCATGGAATCTATACAGGTCGTGCTAGAAGAGCTGAGAAAAAAGGGTGAGTGAAAAATCTCTGCTGACTTGTTAGCTATATCACCAGGCTCTGTCCTAGTGCCATGTGCCTGGATGTGCAGCTGTCTCAAAAGGCTGGGCTGTTTTACCACTGCTATTGGAACATTCCTTTATTCCCTTGTTATCAGTGGAGTCTTTATTTTTGGAACTACTTTCTTTCCTTTTATAGGATCCCAAATTGCTGTTTTGGGAGTGGGAGAGTTAAACCCAAAAGAATTGGGGGGATTTCTTGGGCTTTTGACGCATAATTTTTGTAGCACTACAGAAAATAGATCACTGTGAGGCATACTTGTGAACACAGCCTCCTGGTTGGAGCACAGCAAAGCTGCCAACAGGGCACAATCTCCAGCCAGGGGGTGATAGAGGGCTACTTCTTAGCTCCCCCAGGAGAGAGTCTCAATAATCAGAACAGGCTCACTCACTGACTGACTCGCCCCATCAGCTGTTTGCTGCTGCCTGACCAGTTCTTGCCATTCCTAAAGTCCCGTTAGTTGGAGCTGCCTGCCACTGTGGCAAGGGTTTTTTGGTCAGTCTCTGCTTCCTGATCAGTCCTTGTCATCCAGCAGCAACAGCTGATGAAACTTGTTTGCAATCTGCCTGTGCAGTAAAGGCTGATTGGGTGGCGGGGACTCCTGCTTTGTCATAACCACAACCATCACCAGTTCTGGCAATTCCCATGGTGCGAGCACTGTTGTCAGAGTATTGGGAAGACTGTACCCTGGAAGTCACGACAGAGGTGGTAGGGGTCCTGCAGTGCTCCCTGGTAGCTTGCTGGTTGGGCAGACTATCAAGGAGACAGCAGCTGTCCTTCCTTCCTCCTACCTTGCAGGGTGGAGGGAGGGTGGGCGAGTGGACCACTGTGGGATACTGGTAGTGGGAGAGACCTGCACACGTGTTAGATTTGTTGCAGAAAAGTTTAACATGACAAAGGAGTTGCTGTTGGAAACCGCAGTGTTTTTTGTGGCAGACTTACCTTTTTTTAGTACAGCAGACTAATGTGTGAACTCTAACTTTCTGTTGTGATAAAACATGAATAGCATGACAAATGTAACGAGTCAGAGGCCTTCGTTGAAGTAAGAGATGTGTAGAGATCCAACTGGGGTGAGAGAATATGATAGAAATATAGGCACTTGACTGCATGCATACATGATATTTAAGGTGTACTATAAAACCTGTAGTGAGGAGACATCCTAGGCCCAGTACACTGTGATTAATACATTTTTTTCCATTGTGTCCTAGGAAACCTAGAATGGTTAGACAAGAACAAATCCAGTTTCTTGGTCATGTGGCGGAGACCGGAAGAATGGGGGAAGCTCATTTATCAGTGGGTAAGAGACTGTATTTGCTCCACAGAGCAGACTTTCTTTCTGTGTATGGAAAGGCAGCTTTTGTTTCCAACTTGCTATAAAAAGCACCAAGTTGAACTGTTGATTTGTCATCTTGCCTGAAAACTGTCCATGTCTTCCAGGACAGCAACGTTAATTATGGGTTGTGGAGACTGCTACCGTCAAACTTTGGGGTCTTGATTTCTCCTGTCTTTTGCCTTTGCCTGTCCCAGTTCCTTCTGCCAGAGTATACGGGCTCTCGCAGTTGTACAGAACTTACTTTGTATAAAATGCTGCTGTTAAACACTTACACTTCTGTCTGAGTGAGGATAGTTGAGTGTTCTGTAGTAAGGATAATGCTGCTGTTGCTTTGCCCTTCCAGACCTGAATTCTTTTCATAAAACTTGTTAATTTTGGAGCGGAATAAGAATGATGGATCAGAGAAGGAAGCTATTCCTTTTGCACCAGAGCCAAATCTTGCTTCTGAAAAGTTGTTAAGCACTCTTGGTGTTTGTTTACCTAACACATACTGTCTGGATTCTACTTAATTTTAATGAAGATCTAGTGAAGAGCTGTCTTGGGAGTGTCCATATTTATTTATTTATTTATTTATTTTTACTAAAGTGAAGTTCTCTAAATTTCTTCTATTTTTCCAGGTGGTGAAGAATGGCCTGACCAACTCTGTATTCACACTATATGAGCTGGTCAATGGAGATGACACAGAGAATGAAGGTAATGTTGTCTGTGTGGTGTAGAAATGATAACATTCCTGATAGATTACAGTTTTTAGTGGTGTTAGTGGTGGAAGAATTCCAGATTGGTTGTGGTCTATATATTTTGCTGCTTTAATGAACTCTCATCCTGAGAGCTGCAGTCTATAAGTCTTGTCACAAGTCAATCCCAGTATCTGTCTAACCATGGTGTGTTGGCTTTGCCAGGGTTTGCTATTTCCTTTCCTCCAACCAAAGCTTAGTACCCTTGTTCAGCTGCTTTCATCTGGATAAGATTTTCTTTCTCATAAAATGTGCCTGGCTCCCTTTCTGATTTCAAGTCTGTGCTGGAAATGGTGTAATTTTTTCTTTTGCTGTTCAGCAGAACCCACATCCTCCATTTTTTTTATGCCATGATAATAGTGGTAATAGTTTGCATTAACTGCACTGTTCGTTGTGCTCCTGGTACTTCAGAAACACTCCATAAAGCCCCCCTGGAGCTCGCTATTATTAGGCTGGGATTGCTGTGAGTCATGCTGCTTTATTAAGTGTGATTCTTTTTGCACATATTGACTGGGGGTATGTTTGTCCTTCCCTAGAGTTCCATGGCTTGGATGAGTCCATACTACTTCGTGCCCTGCAAGCCTTACAGCAAGAGCACAAAACTGAAATTATCACATTGGATGATGGCCGAGGCGTCAAGTTCTTTTAAACCCCTCCCTTCCCATCTCTTCTGACTGCTAAAGCATTTCTAGCTTTGAAGGTTCAATCTCCAGCTATGGCATTGAGTCGTGACTGGAAGCAGCTGCATATTCTGGATTTCTTGGGGTGAAGAGAAGCTGTAAAGTCTTTCAAAGACATGACATTTTAGAAGTCTTCAGAGATCCTGCCTTTTTCTTCTCCCTGTTGATTTTGTTTATGAGAGGGATTAAAGCTGCTCTAGGAAGATTCTAAGGGGACCACTCTAGGAGTGAAGTGGAACCACTTTGCCTCTTGATTCCTGTTCCCAAGAAAGCAGCCGAGGAGCAGGCCTTGGCAAGCCAATTGGTTGGTGGCTGGTTAGCCAGGTTTGGCTTTCAAGGGGCAGCTCTCTCTGCCTTCTTGGTCACAGCTGGGCTCTGCAGCCATCTTCTGCATTGCAGTGTGTGGTGAGAGTGAGCACAAAACCATTTCCAACTTCTGAGTTCTAAACAGTCTATGGAATAATGTGATGCTTGCTGTGAAACAGACTCTGCAGGTATGTTGGGGGCAGGTGCTGGGGGAATTAATTTGAATAATTAAAATGAGATCTGTTTATAGACCAGCACTGGATGTTTTCTTTCAAGTTCTCAGGTATGAGAATAGGCGTTGCTTTTATGTTGAATCACTGGCCTTCCCCTGAGATTTGTCAGTAAAAACTGTAAAAAATGGACTTGTGCGGGGTCCAGAGTGCCACCTTGCTGAAGGGTTGCCTACCTTTTAACAATGGCTGGCAATTTTTCCTCCTGCCCCAGCACACTGCCAGCAGAGGTGTAGCCCCAGTTCCTTTGCCCCCTCCCCCACAACCCCAAGAGATGCGATTGCTGTTGAGGTGTCAACTCAAAGGGTAATGCAGCAGCCATCAACTCTAAGGGCCCTCTTGTATCCCCTACTCCAACTGTTGTCACTCACACCCGTTGCCAAGTTCTGCCATTTCCCATCATCAATAGTAATCTGTAGCATTAAATTTGGTGGCAAAAAAAGGCAGCAGCTGCAGTATGGGACCTTTGTTAACCCCCTGATTGCTGGCCTCATTAACATGTACCCCTGCAGCAGCAGTTTTTTCCATGGGGGAGGTGTGAGACTGACAAAGGGACCTGGAATATTAGGACAACCCCTGCAAGCCCTCTGCTGCCCTACCAGCTGTGGGGAACTCTGCTGTGTACCAGGTCAGATATTCATGGGCTAGATCCAGCCCTCAGGCTGTAGGCTGCCAATCCCTGGTCTTGTTGATTCCAAAACAAATAGGTTGACTTTGCAAGGAAAAATGTTTTGTCTGTGTGTCCATGTCCCACCAACTGCAAGATTGTCTAGATTCTTCCCAGCTTGTGTAGTAGTGTTTCCAGGATAAATGTACTTTCATCTCCTCCTACACCATGCAGCATGCTTAAAGCTAGTGGAACTGTGCAGGTGTGATGGGGAGGCATGCTTTGTAGAAATGAGAAGTACCTAAGGGTAGTGTTGGAGTGATGTTGTAGCTGTGGTACTTGAGGAAAAATGCAAGAGGCAAGGATTTTTGGTGGGCAGTGTCTTTTATTGAACCAACTTTATAGTTGGTAGGAGCATAAATGAGGTTTCAGGTATCACTGTAAGGGTGTAATTTAGTTGTTGCAGCCACTACCCTGATGACAGTGTACAAAATGTAAAGAGCCCAGATGAACGAACTGCTTGGCCAGTCTTAGCCATGATTTCTGAAACAGCCTTGAACAGTTTGTCCTGCCCTTGTGCTGAAGCAACCTTCAGCACTAGTTCAGTTGCAGCTGCTGCTGACACCTGTTGTCAGCAGTTTGTAATTTCAGTGTAGACAAGGTACCAGAGTCTGGGCTGCCTGTTAAGAAAACCTCCCCCTGACTTGCAGGGGAAGCCCATCTGGCTTGGGAGCAGTGGGATCTGCTCCCTCTGGCCCCCTACAGTTATGCTTGCAAGACATGTCTCTGTCATAAAAGCACTTGGAGGCTGTGATGGAAAGTCTCAGCTCTTTGCTACAGCTACTGGGATACTATGCTTTATGCTGCCATAGGGAGTCTCACTTGCTTCTGCTTTTCTGGTAGGAGAAGGCTTTGTACAGGTGGAAGTGCTGGGCATGGGGCTAACACAGTCTTGTGTCCTTTCTGGAATCTGTTGCATCTCTTCAAAAACTCTGTTGGTGGGGGAGTAAACAGAGCAGGATGGTGGAGCACACCACAAATGTTCCAGCCTCCCCTTGGGGCCAGAACAGCTTGTTACTTTTACAATTGAAGCCTTAAACAATGGGGTTGTTTTGTTTTGTTTTGTTTTGTAAGCCATAACTGTACCCGCTCTGCTGCTGGCATTACCTGATTTTTCCTTCTAATGTGCGGGAGGAGGGAGCTAGGAAGAATTGCTCCCTCCTCAGTCTAGTGGCTGTTTGACCATCTGATTGTTGCTGGGTTAATGGATACTAAGAGTAACGTGCTGCCTGCCTAAACCCTCTACTCTAAACTGGAAAGTGGTACCATTAAGACTACAAAGTAGTACCACTAAAACTACAAAAATTTTTGGTCCGTTTCCCAAAGTGCCTCAGGTTCCTGGTTGCAAGCAAGTGATAAAACAAGTTCTGAGCAGGTAAAGGGAATCTGGCAGCAAGTGTGTAAGGGACAGAACAGATACAAACCCATCCAAAGCATAGAGGCAAACAAGCAGCAAGCAGGAGAGTTGCTGTGCCAGGGAAATGGTAGCCGCAGTCTTCTGTTGGGGTCTGTGGCTTCTCCTGTGAGGACTCCCCAGAAATGTCTGGCTGCTTGGGTCCTGTACCAGATCATCTGTCCCATCCTATCTGTTGTATTTAGCCCAGCAGAGGGAGCCAGAATATTCCTTACAGAATGGCATCCCTCAGCTGGTCTTTTTGGCAGTGCCCTAAATCACTATCCTAAAAACAGGTTTGTGTGAGTTTGTAACCCAGACTGGTACGAGTGGAAATCTCTGGAGTTCTTTGATTCCTCCCTGTTCTTTCTTTTTGGCTTAATTCTTGCCTGGCCCTCCTGTTTGCCACATCTGATAGCTAACATTTGTCCCATGCTGTCTGACACCAGGTTTCATACTGTGACTCTTGCCTCCGTTCATCTTTCCCACTCCAGACTCTGTGCCCCTCCATTCATAGCAGTGAAGGTTATTTTTCTTGCTGGCTGCTCTGTCCACACAAAGGACAAGGCTTCCTTTCCCTCACCCAGCCATGTCTGAAGGACAGTACCTGCTGAATTATAATCTATGACCATGAGCAGTGAATAGTTGACAGACAGGCCCAAGTTGTTTGCATCTTTCCCCTTCATGTGGACCAGACTTGCCTCTGAACGTTGCATTCCTTTTGGAGTTGCCTACCCTTGCTCTCCTTGGCTGAGTCAGTGTTCTTAATTAAACATTCTGTCTGCACTGGAAACAGCTGATGTGGTCTTTGATAAACCTATTACTAGCACGCAGTGCCCTCAGAACTCACCTTTTTCCATAGTGATTCTGACAATCATTCACTACCCTGTTCTCATTTCCCAGCTTTGTATTTGGTGAGGAGAAAGGGAGTCTTTCTTGCTCCTACAAATTAAGGCATCACCCAGCCTCACCTTGGGGGCCCAGGAAGTTGGGGTGCGCATATGTTTGTCCTCCATCCCATTGGGTCATACCTCACCTTAATTGTGAGAACTGTTAACATTCCCTGTGCCTGCTTGCTCTTTCAAAGTTTTTGTTTTGGTTGGAACTTTTAAGTTTTTGTTACTTCAATTAAAAAAAAAAGCCTGCTTGCTCTTACAGCACATATGTTCAGCAGAGCAGAGGTGTCTAGGCAAATGCTCTTCTTGTGTGAAAAGGATGGTCAAAGTGGCCCAAGTAAATAGGAAAGACCTTGTGACTAAAATAGCAGCCACCTGCTGACAACACCGTGTCCTTAGAGTCCAGACAATATTGCTAGCTACTACCTGTCTTCATAGGATGACAACAGTAATAATTTGTAGCCCACAGCAATGCAAACAAAGCTGCCAGCAGGATAAAAATAAGGCTTTTTATTGTCATGTGACACTGATTGTTTGGCATCTTTATACAGTGTGTGGCCTGGCAAGATAATTGCATGATTGGGATATCAGCACCAACCTGGCTGACGTGGGCTGGTGTTGCTTACGCTTGAGCTGTTCTGGTTTGAGAGCTCTCAAGTGCTGGGTGGAGCTGGAGGAGGCGGTATTAAAGTGGTAAGAGGAAAACTGCCATGATTGCCTCAAACCACATTTCCCCCTTTGGCTTTTGGATAATTGCGTCTCATCAGTGCACTTCACGGAGAGCAGAAGAGTTGTGCATGCTCCATGGGGAAGGAAGCATGGAGCCGGCTGTGGCACTTTTATTGCTGCAGACATCTCTCCGTGGCTGCTTCATTTGCCCATCTTGCACGCCTGCCTTCTCCACATCTGACCCCTTTGGCAGCAGGCTGACCCTCTCCCAGTGCTGACTAATCACAAGACCTCACTCTCTTTCTGTATACTTCTTTTGCAGACCAGAAAGAAATGGAATGATGTTACATAGTTAAAAAAACAACAAGAAAACATTTTTGCTGGAAATTGCACACCTCAGCTCAGAGGGAGGAGGAAAAAGCCAATTACAATCCAGCTCCTTCATATGGGCTCTGGCCCACCGAGCAGTAGGACATCAGCCAAGTGAGATTCTGCTTCCTGGGAGTAGAGGAGAATTGGGAATGGGTAGATAACAGACTTCCAGTTCCCCCAGACCTGCCTATGAAAACTGCAGTCTAACAGTGCAGACAAGACAGCAGTCCATTCTTTGGTGATCAGCTTCTGAAACCCAGGCAGGGGCAGTTCAAAACTTGAGGTGGAAGGGCAGCAGGAGCAGTGTGGGGGCTAGGGCTTGAGAAGAGCACCTGAAGAAGCAGTAGGAGAGTAGATTTCACCAGTTCCTACCGTAATGTGGTTGTCTGACAAGGGTCATTTATGTATCTTTAGTCACAGGTTACATAGAGTTTTCCTTGGGATGGCTTGGATAGGGTTGATCCTACCTCAGGTTGGGAGTCTGTGGGGGGCAGCATGTTTGGACTGGATGACCTCCAGAAGTCCCAGCCCTACTTTTTATGATTCTATAATACAGAAGAGACTGGGTTTGCACAGTGCAGCAGGTATCAGATGGGTGACCTGTGCCAAGATTCGGCAGTTTGGGGACTTCAGGACCAGCCATTGCCTGGAAGTGCAGCATTGGGCAGCACTGTTGAGCAAGAGTGTGCATATCTGCCTTTCAATAGCTGCTTGGCTTTGCTCCTTTCAGGTACAATGTCCAGAAAGTGGCTTCGGTTCCCCAGAGGCACTGGGCAGGGACATGGCTTGTTGTCGCTCCGAGATGCAGCCAGAAAGAGGCACAGGAAACTAGAAAAAGATAGGTGGTAATGAGCTCCATGCCTCTCTCTTCTGGCCAGGGTTGAGCCTGAGTAAGTAGCTTAACCCCTTGTGAGACAGAATGTCCATGGCCCTGGCTGTAGTCATTTTGGTTTGTCACTCTATGCTCTTTGGGGGCTCTCTGAGCGAGGGAAGGAAGTGTTTGTACTTCTCCAAAACCCAGACCAACAGTTGGGATTGGTCTGCCAGATGTAAAAGCACATGCTCTGCCCCTGCACAAGGCTCTTTGGAGACACTAGTTTGGCAGATCTGTCAAAGTTCCACAAGTGAGCTGTTCTGCAGGGTGGGTCACCACCCCTATAGCTGGTCACACTGATTAAAGCTAACTAGCCAGGGCAAGGTGGAGTGTGAGGGGCCCCAGGAATGTGATAAGGTGTTATCAAGCTGCACAGGCCCTGCTTACACCTCCTTAGTAGGAGGAAAGAACCTTGTAGATTTTTGTACATGGTTAAGATCAACTGTAGTTTCAGTTTGATGATAAATTAGGACTATTTGGTCTTCAGGGAGTCCTGAAAATGCACTGAGCCTATAGCTAATTTCAGGGCTAGCCTGATGCTTCCATTTTGGACTGGGGGTTTATGAAGAATTATGCACCTGGAGCTAAAGCTATGGCTGGGGTCTGAGGTGCCTTCCCTCATATATGGGCCAGAGAGCTGCAGTTGTACAGAAGGTCAGGACTAGAACCCTAGCAGGAAGGTTAATGGGGTCACGGTACAAGTCAAGAACAGGATGCTGAAAACTCATCAGCATGCTGGAAGCTAGGGGCTCCTTTAGTCATGTTCCCTCTCATAAGTTCCTGGTTCTCAATTACAGCAGATGACATTGTCTCTTGCCCCCAAAGCAATGCACAGCATGCATGCCTGCCAGGAAGCAGGCTATGTTGCCATGAGAACTCTGCCAAGGTGGTACTGTAAAATTAGCACATCTAATGACATATGGTTTTCCTGGGGCTTGTCATCTTCCTGCCTAGTTCTTTGGCCCTGCTGGTCTGTGAGAGCTGTTTTCAGTTCTGTGTTTAGTTTGGTTTCTAATGGGATCTGTTGAAGATGCAGTAGGACATATGAGAGAACCATTCTCTACATGATAATTTGCCAGGGTGTATAGAGGTTAGGACCAGCCTCAGAGATTGGCCCCCTCCCCATGTCAGAATCGCTGGACAGGCCACAGTTTGTCTCTGATACCCCCCTTTTTGGGGGGGGGGAGGGAAGGTGTAAATAAGTCTGCCACCCTGGTCTCCTTCTTTGGTCCAGCAACTCTGCCAGCTTTTGCCTGGTCCCATGTCCCCCAGTCTCAACATCAAAATTGTTGCATACAAATCTTGCTTGTTGGGGAAAAAGGGTCCTTGGGGCTAGGGGTAACCTCACTGGTAGCTTTGCCTGCCCGGATAGACCAGCCCCTCACGTGGGGCCTCTGCTCTCCCTCAAGTGCTTCTCCTTTAACAGAGTGATTCCCACAGGCTTCCAAGTACCTGTCAAGGTTTCAGCTGTCACAGCCTTGGACCCCTTTTCTTCTGGCCCACACCCTCAGGCTTGGTCCACTGTTTAAGGCCTTAGCTCCTGGGTATCAGCCCTGCCTTGGTGGCAGCCACTTCTGGGGGTCCAGTTTCAGCCCCTCTGGCTGCAGCAGGCTAGTGTTTCTCCCTCCCCTGTAGGCACAACCTAGTCCTCTGGTCTCAAGTTCAAAATTGAACATAGAATACTAAGGTTAGAAGGTACCTCAGGAGGTCATCTAGTCCAGCCTTCTGCTTAAAGCAGGAGCATTCCTAACTAGATCATTTCGGCCAGGGCTTTGTTGAGCCAGGCCTTGAACTCCAAGGATAGAGTTTCTACCACCTCTCTAGGTAACCCATTCCAGTGCTTTACTACCCACCTAATGAGACAGCTTTTTTCCTAACATTCAACCTAAACCTCACTGCAACTTGAGACTATGCTCCTTGTTCTGTCATCTGTCACACTGAGCACACTCTAGCTCCATCTTCTTTGTAACAAACACAAGCCAGCAGCTTCACAAAAAAAAAATAGTCTCCCTTGCTCTGGGTAAACGTTGCCCTTGGGTCTACCAACTTCAAAATGCTCTCAACCCGCCTTAGGTGGGTGAATTAGCTGACCTCTAGCAGTACTTCTTCTTGCCACATGCAGAGGCCCTTTTGCATGGTCAGAGACAGGGCTTATATCCCCAAGCTCAGCTTCCTTCCAGCCATGTGACTGGATAGGCTGCACCCAGGGACCCAGGTGCAGCTAATTGCCTCATTAGCAGCCTGATCTTTTTAGTCCCTTGCTCAATCCACCTCAACTGCTACTCTGTGCTGCCCTTTTTGGCTTTGGGTTTCTTAGCCTTTCAGGGCTTCCTAGCAACAGGAACACAGGTTCCCTGTTACATTCTCTACATGATGCACCATGTAGCAGTTTGCTAACCCAGTCTCTTGTAGAAGGGGCCTGAATCCCTATAACCAAATGGTGAGAGGTACTGAGTTCATTAGATGCTCAGATCTCTCTGTGTTCTGTTCTTGCAGCTTCTTTGCCTTCCTGCTGGGAGCTTAGAAATCAGAGGGAATGGATCCTGGCAGCATTTGCTGGAGCTAGCGAGTGAGACACATGAGTATTTAATGAAGCATAGTGAAGCAGCCGTCCCTTTGATTAGTGATCCAGTCCCTGAGGAGAGTAATTACCTAGCCTCTGTTATTCTCATGGCAGCTGAATGCATGTGAAAAATGGGTTAAACTACCAGTTTAGAACAGGTCTCAATGAGGAGGGTTGGCACCAGCCCCAGGAACCCAAGGGAAATGTCACCCTGATAAGGCACCCAGGTGTTGTGTGTACTTCCTATGCACTGGAACTCAGCTGTTGATCTAGAGTGGAGAATTTCTGTCCTTGTTCCATGTCTGACTCCCACGTGGTGCCTAGGACTAGGTCAAGAAGTGCTAGTTGGAGAGGCGCCCTGTCCCCTTCTTGAACTGCCAACTTCCTGCCAACTTCATGGTGTGGCACAGCATTCACACATCTAGGGGGCTGGAGGAAAGGCCATGGTGGGATAGTGCCAAGTCAAGACCCCTCCCACCATTCGTCTGGCAGCCTGGTTCCCCATGACCTGCAGTGAGCTTTTATGAGCTTGCTCTTTCAGGTCCTTGGCAATCTGCTTTGGCTGCTTGGAGTGACTGTGAAGGCAGTTCTTTATGAGTGGAGCACCTATCTGCTGGAAACTGAACCAAGATCCTTGTCTGATGCCTTGCACCCTGGCCCCAGGTGCTCTGGCAGACAGTGAAGGCTCCCAGCCAGCTCTGCAGGTGGTGCAGTCCAGAGGCAAGAGGCCTGTTGTCCTCTGCACCAGTCTTCCTGTGCAGGACCAACACTGACTTTCCATGAGTGCCCCAGTCATGTAGATGACTCCAATGAGCTCCAGCACCTAGTTGGATTCCTAGTTTTCCACTTGGCCATGAAGCACAGACTCTATGCAGCCTCTTGGATGGGGCCACTATTCTCTATATGGGGACATAGTCGGCTCTAGAATTTAATAAACAGAGATGTGGTACGCTTCTCCTCAGACCATGGGAGGAATGGGGGCGAGGTATGGCTGGAGCCCCACTGCTGGTGTGGAACACTAGGAGGATGGGGAGGGAGCAGGTGCAGGAAGATAGGTAATCCAGGGCCTGCCCACTGCCACCATCTGCTGTCTCTGGTTGGCATGGGCATGGGAAGAGCCCCAGAGTTGCTTCTGCCCCTTCCAGCTGGAGACTGGAGTAGTTCCATGGGTTTCCAGGCCCAGCTGAGAGCAGCAGCAGCAGCATGAGGGTCTCTGTTCCTACACCTATTCTTTGCTTCCCCTTCACCTCCCCCCATTTTCCCCCACCAGCTGGAGGCTTCAGCTGCCAGGATTGTGTGGGGTGCGGGGGACAGTGGTGGCAGGTAGGTCCCCCCTTCCTGTGCAGTGCCTGTCCTTCTGGGTTTAGTCTTCCAGCTGGGGAGCAGGCACTAGAAGGCGTGGTATGCCCACTGCTGCTCCTTGAGGCCTGCAGCCGTTCCCCAGTTGGGCCCCTAGTGTCCATCACCTGCCCAGGGGCTTCAGCTGTCAGGAGAGGCTGCATAGGGTGCTGGGTTCAGCTGGGAAAGCTGAGTGCCCTACACAGCGGAAGGAGGTGTGACCACACCACCCCCACTCCTGGATCCTCTGCTACCCTTGGGCCCTGAGGGCTCTTGTAACACACAGTTCTGTGTTCATTCATGGGTTTAATGCTGAAAAGGGAACAAGGAAAGGAAACTTATTTTTCCTTTGCCTGTGGGTTTCTGATACCTGAACCAGAACCAGTTCCAGGTACAGGGTGAGCAGCACAAATAGGCTTTGATGTGCCTGAACCCTTGGGTAGCAGTGATCAATCCACTGACAGGGCAACAGAATTTGCCCCTCAGAACAGATCCCTTTTCCTGTTTTATTTTGGAGGCAGTCTCTTGGCCATGACTGGGGATGAGATTGGCCAGCATGATCTGGTATCCCTATGAGTGATTCAGCTGTCTGCATTCTGGCAGGAGAGAGAAGCAGCTGGGGAACAAGATCCAGAATCTCCCCCACCCTGCCTATGTGGATCAGGTTGAGGATTTGTCACTAGGAAGAGCTGAAATCCCCAGCTTTGCTGAAAGCTACAGCCAGGGTAGGATAAGAGTGAAAGCAATTACTGTCCTTTTTAAGCAGAAAACTTTATAAGCCTGGCATATGCTGCACGAACAAGAAGGCTGCAACCTCATTTTACATGGCTCTGGGCTCAAGAGGAGAAGGCAAAGACCAGAGCAGGAACGATACCTTCTTGTACTGCTGCTCAGACTGCTGGTTTTGTGCTCATAACTTGACCCTGTGCAGTTCTTAGGGGTGTGCAGGGAGTGAGTTCAATGGTAGGAGACAGATGTGTTTGAAGGGTGTGCTACTGTCTGCTCTTCTGACCATTTTGTGCTGCATGAGTGTCAGGAACAGACTTCCCCTCCTGACCTCAGCTTTCACTGACAGACAGGTCTGCATAAAGCATGCAGCCTCTAAGCAGGGTGGAGTCCAGCTATGCCACCTGTCACAGCAAGGCACCCCTTTTGGGGCTAGAGACAGCACGGTTTCCCATGCTGTGTCAGCTCATCAGGCCCATCTATACCAATGCCTCAGAACTAGGTAAAGTTCCCCTGTCCATGAGGCATCTAGTTGTACATTGCTGAGGGGGGCAGATAGTGCACACATGCATGTTTGTTTAAGGCTTCTGTGACTGTTCACTCAGTACCACGTGCTCTGTACATGTACTGGGGAGCAGGGGTGGGGGTGAGGGTGATTTCTTTTCCCAGCTTGCTTACACACTCTGCAAGTTAGCAGTTTTTGAGCAGTTGGAGAGGGCTGGTCAAGTTATACCCAGTCCATTTGTTCAGTAAGTTGGGAAAGCAGGGGTGATTGGAGCAAGTGAATGTAACAGGTGATGGCCAGTTCAACACTGGACCTATGCAGAACTTCTGCAGGCAGATTTTATTGTACATTTCCCTCCCTCTGCTCCAGACTGAGGGGGTTTGGTGTGCAGTAGCTGTGCTGCAAATCCACCAGGTTGTGAACTTTAACTACAGTGCCAAAGATCTGAGGGGATCATCCTGGACATGTGGGTTTAGTGGCTGAACTCGGCACAGGGGACACTGCTGGGCTGCCATTGCAGCCCTTCCCCTTGGTGCATTTCTTATTGAATTAGAAACAACCTGACCGTAGTGAGCATAAATTAATCCCAGCTACAATTGCTTTGTATTTTGTGTAAACAGTTCCACCAGAAGTTAAACAAACTGAAAGCAACTCCAGGGACAACAGGCTCTTGCCTGAAGGTGATGTGAAGACCGCCTGCCCATCCCTCAGTTCTGAGGTTAATGTCTGTGTTTCTGGCTGTAACCCTGATTTCTGGATTTTACTTGGCAGCTAAGGCAGGGCCAATTCCGTGGCTCGGGGACTTGATGTTTGGAGCAGTGTGTGTGTCTCCTGCAACCTAACCTGGGAGCTGCTCTTTCCAGGGAACAGGATACTGTGGAGTCTCAGGTCAAAAACTGCAGACAACTAATGAAAGACAAGCATGTCACCGCAGTTCAGTGCCCCCAGGCTCGCCCGTCGGGACTAGGAGCCCCACTGATGGAACGGCTTCGAGCCACTGCGGAGCAAGCCTGCGAGAAGTGGGCGGGCCACTGCGACCTGAAAGCTTTTCCCCGGCTCTGAACAGCCTGAAGAGCGTCTGGTTCCAGCCCCTGCCCCGGCTCGTGGGGCTGGGGATCCGCCTAGCCGCTGCTCGCCGCCTGCCCCGAGCGGCCGGGGCGCGGGCAAAGGAGCCTCTGCACGTGGTCGGGGCAGAGCCCCTGGCGCCTCTTCCAGCGTGGGGGCAGAGAGGCCCTGCGGGCAGAGCGGGCCCCGGCCGCCCGCA